AGATTCAGTCATTGTTTATTTACTCTGTCTACATTGACTTGATTCAGTCATTGTTTATTTACTCCGTCTACATTGACTTGATTCAGTTATTGTTTATTTACTCCGTCTACATTGTCTTGAATCAGTCATTGTTTATTTACTCCGTCTACATTGTCTTGAATCAGTCATTGTTTATTTACTCCGTCTACATTGTCTAGATTCAGTCATTGTTTATTTACTCCGTCTACATTGTCTTCATTCAGTCATTGTTTATTTACTCCGTCTACATTGTCTTCATTCAGTCATTCTTTATTTGTCGTGTCTATATTGTCCAGATTCAGTCATTGTTTATTTACTCCGTCTACATTGTCTTCATTCAGTCATTGTTTATTTACTCCGTCTACATTGTCTTGAATCAGTCATTCTTTATTTATCGTGTCTACATTGTCCACATTCAGTCATTGTTTATTTATCGTGTCTACATTGTCCAGATTCAGTCAATGTTTATTCACTGTATCTTTATTAGCTTATCGAAAATTATAGCTTTGTTTGTTTCGCTATGTCTATTGGACATTTGAATTCTTTGTGATTTTAACATTCGAACAAAATCTACAGTTCAAGGTAAATATTACTTTACGGTGGGTATTAAATACGTACAGAAACGACGAAGTTTAAAATTTTAAGATACGGAATTTTATCTCACTTCCAAGTGAAATAGGTCCTTTACAGTTCATTAGTTAAGAACGAAGAAAAAATGTGTTAATTTCTGTTGGACATCTTTCACGTTTCTGAAAGTCGATTTTCGGCAAAAGACAGGTAATTCGAATCTTGCACACTCGAAGTCCGTAAATTTGTCCAGATTTTTTTTTACATTTTGAAGCACTTAACAGGTATTTATGAGTATTTACTTTTGTTAGTGTACAACTTTATCATCACAGAGCTGAAGATAACTAGAAAATTAGTTTGTCAGTTCTTGTGAATGGTAGTAAAGTTAATTAACGTAACAATGGGATAAAAATCAGGGATAAATTTAAAATAAAATAAATATTACATGTTCAGGTGTAAGGGGCCTTTAAATACGAAGAACTAAGTGTTCTTGTGTAAGGAGTTCTTACCTAGGAAGAACTACGTGATCTATACTTACCTAGGAAGAACTACGTGCTAATTACACGTGATATATACTTACCTAGGAAGAACTACGTGCTAATTACACGTGATATATACTTACCTAGGAAGAACTACGTGATCTATACTTACCTAGGAAGAACTACGTGATCTATACTTACCTAGGAAGAACTACGTGCTAATTACACGTGATATATACTTACCTAGGAAGAACTACGTGCTAATTACACGTGATATATACTTACCTAGGAAGAACTACGTGCTAATTACACGTGATCTATACTTACCTAGGAAGAGCTACGTGCTAATTACACGTGATATATATACTTACCTAGGAAGAGCTACGTGCTAACTACACGTGATCTATACTTACCTAGGAAGAACTACGTGCTAATTACACGTGATATATACTTACCTAGGAAGAACTACGTGCTAATTACACGTGATATATACTTACCTAGGAAGAGCTACGTGCTAATTACACGTGATATATATACTTACCTAGGAAGAACTACGTGCTAGTTACACGTGATATATACTTACCTAGGAAGAGCTACGTGCTAACTACACGTGATTTGTACTTACCGAAGTACATTGGAGAATCTCTTGCTGCAACGTTATCATCAATATAAGGAATGCCGAGTGTGTAAACTGCTGTCGCTCCGATGCCAATGAAGAGAAGACTGATGAAGAATATGGTCAGAACAAACCAGGTTCTTTTATTTGGTACATCCGAAAACCCGCACCCATAAGGCTCAGCGGCTGGGAAGTAATCAGTGGAATTACCTCTCGTCCAGGTTACGCTCTCATACTGAGGTGTGACTTCTGAAGAGGTGATCTGTTTGATGCGACACAGTTCTGCGTTAAGCTTATGTAGTGTTTCATAAGTTTGGTTACCGGCGTTATCTTGGTCGGTGTAAACGGGATAATTTATCTTAAAAAGGAAATGTGGAGTGGAACAAAATATACATGCCGTGGCAAATAATAACGTTCCGAAAGCTATCCACTTCGGACGGTGACCCCTACCGCCATAATACGTTAAAAAGAAAGCGCCACCTATTTGTCCGATTTCTGTGGCTGACAAGATTATTCCTGTTGTTTTACTCTCCACGCGGTAGAGTTTTTCTATCGTGGTTAAAACACTCACGAAGTACGTCGAATACATTCCTTGGAGAACACTGGTGAAACAAAATATCGCCACAAACGTCTTCTTGTTCGCGAACGATTGGAAACACTTAGGCCTAAAAGAACCTATTCCGCAGTAAGGTTTTTCGAAATCGTCTGCATGGTGGTCGTTAGGAACGAAAACGTTCTCACTGCTTTTAGTACCGTTTGACAAAGTTTTTTCGAAATCGTCTGCATGGTGGTCGTTAGGAACGAAAACGTTCTCACTGCTTTTAGTACCGTTTGACACATTATGATTACTACACACAATCACTGTTTTGGACTCGTTTCCATTAGGACTAACTATCTTACTCTCGTCCCCGATGTTCCTTGGCTTGTCTTTGTTCATCATGTTGGCCGCGACCTCTGCATGACTTCTCCTCATTAAACTAAGAATCTGAGATGTATAAGAGATGTAATATTAAAGATTAAGCTTACGTCTTTAAGCCTTCTTTACTAAACTTACAGAAAAGCAAAATTTATTAAATTATACAAACATATACATATACTATTTTTCCCGATTTTTAATACTTCTACTAATTACATAGTTCAAGCTTTCTGTTGCTTCAACAAAACTTTATATTCACAGAATTAGTAGAGAAAAGTTTTAATGAAACTCGGTGTACTTACTTTTAATTACGGTTGTAAAGCGTGTGCGAGTTACAGGATTGAGTACGTTATATTATAACGATTTGAAATATGCAAGTCAGCAAATCACGTGATAACTACAGCCAATATATAATATGTCTCGTGTTTCCTAGGTAATGTAATGCCACCGAAAATTGAGCGCTTTTATGAAGGGTTTATAACAACCCTTTCCAACCCAAAATATTCATAAACTCAGATCATGAGGATGTGATCTCATCGGGGGTGGGGTGAGGGTAGTTTTCCCATTACTTTTACTTAATGGCATTGGGGCACCAGGACCACCAGAAAAAGACCTGCAACAAGTTGTAACCCAGCTGTAGTAAGCAAAGTACGGCGTTTTGTAACAAGTAAGGATCAACAAAAATAATGGTCAGCGGAAAAAGACGTCCACGTGACCCAGGAAACAGTACACAACATAGTCTCCGTTTGGAAACAAGGCCAAAAAGATAAGGTTTCCAGTTACATCTTCCGCTCAACCATCCCATACCTGAAACAGATGTAGACATATTAGTTAATAAGCGTTGCATCTGGGCGCTGAGAAGTGTCTTCTTCGTACATTAAATGGATTATGGAAAGCAATTAGTGAGAAGTGGTGTGTTTTGGATATGGTAGCCTTACGACGAAGCCTTTTGCAAGGGCTATTGTCAAGATGCACGGTCGTCAGATAAAATATGACCGGACGTGATGAGGCTACCAAACAGTTTTAATACAACGTACTCAACCTTCTGTGTAACGTTGTCAATTCTTTGCCATTGGATGTGGCTAAAATAAAAAAATATATATATTATGAAATTATTATTCCAAATATTTAAAAACTTCGGTTTTAGAACCATTTTGAACTTTAAAAAGATGAGAAACTTTTCGCTGCGATGATAATTAATCATCAAAAACAGAAACAAACGATGTTCTTGAAGTTGTTTTTTCTTGCCTAAATTAGCTTCATTTATTTTAAAATAAATTATAACAAACAGTTTTCTCTAAGTTGGGAACATAACAACTTTGTGAGGTTTTTAATAACTAGTAGCTTCCACTGTATTTTCTGATACTACTGCTTTTAGTCAGCAGTTCTGTGGTAAGGAATATATCTTAGGAGTAACTGATTTGGTCTTTTAGCCCCCGTGTCGTGTAAGATGCCGTCAAGGTTCTATAAAACAATAATACTCTTCAGCATACATACACAAACACCTCTATCACAGTTTGTAAACACTGAACGTTTGTTGTAGTACTCTGTGTTCTGCCTTCTGGTGCACGTGTACAAAGTTGAGTTTGTTTAATCTTGCAGAAATGGCTGAACATAATGATTTTACCTCCACCTGTACACAGAAACAGACAGCCGGACAAACGGCTAGATTGACCTCAAACAAGTAAACACATGAATACTCTTGCTAAGAAAGAGTAACCATGATCTATTGTAACTCTGGTTTCCCTGGTGTTCAGTAGCCTTGAGTAACTTTGTAATAAACTTAATTTTCGTAACCATCTTGGACGTTTTGTAATAAACTTAATATTCCTAACCATCTTGGACGTTTTGTAATAAACTTAATTTTCCTAACCATCTTGGACATTTTGTAATAAACTTATTGAAATAATATTAGCTTGACTTAAGTGGGTGTACAGACTCCCTTGTAATGGGATATGGATATACAGGCTCCTGTTTATTGAAATAATATCAGCTTGACTTAAGTGGGTGTACAGACTCCCTTGTAATGGGATATGGATATACAGGCTCCTGTTTATTGAAATAATATCAGCTTGACTTAAGTGGGTGTACAGACTCCCTTGTAATGGGATATGGATATACAGGCTCCTGTTTATGGAAATAATATCAGCTTGAATTAAGTGGGTGTACAGACTC